GTCACCTGAGCAGGACTGAATATGAATATACACAGGGTATGTGGCAGTCGTGCATACGCGAGTTGAGCACTTCTACTTGATTTGTCATTTAAGTTTCGTGTGAAAAACAATTAAATTGCGAATGAATGAATTCAACAAAATGTTAAACCCAAACCATTTAAGTTAGTTGTCGTAGCTGGCAAATGTGATTTTATTGACTCACAAATGGCACACCCAAGTTTTATTTTTGTGGTGTGTCACTGAGTTCAGTTGGGCTTTTAGATATAATGCGAAACACTCTGCCAGAATACTTGTCATAATTAAATTTAAAATATACGAATTCAAAGGTACTAGTCGATAAACGAGAGGCAAAAGGCGAAACGGAGTAAAGACGGCCATATTGGCACTCCCTCCAACTTTAAGGCAATAAACTGTATTTTTATTTAAATTAAAAGATGGCCGCAAGAGCATTAAGGTCGAGGGCGGCAACGATCATAAAACAAAACTACTTCTGGCCATATAGAGCGGTTGCATAATAAATGCAAATAATGCTTTACGATGATGACCGAAAGGTGGCAGGAAGCCAGTGAAAGCCCAGCCACCCCCCAACCCTTCACATGTATGTATGTGTGTGTGTGTATATGTGTGTGTGTGTGTGGAAGAGTTTCCTGACTTTGGACTTCGGCTCGCTGGCACGAAAAAGTAAAAAAATAAAACAAACACGAAATTCCATTAAGCGAATGGATTGCCATTCATAACTTTTGGCCATGTTGTTGGTTGGTAATTGTGCGCCACTCTGCGTATGGAGACAACAACTAACGACATCAGGGCTGCAAAATATTTCCAGAACAAAATCAGTGTCCAAGTAAGCCATATACAGCTGCGAAAAAAAATAATAGCAACATTCTCACAACAAATGTTTTCACATGTGTACATTTTCAGCAGTGGATGACTGTGAGAAAAGATGGGAAAGAGTAGTTCGAAGGATTACTAAACAATATTTGAGAAACCAACATTAGAAAAAAAAATGCAATTTTAATTGATTGTTTCTTTTTTTTTTTGCTTATGCATATTTGGGGCATTTCTCTAAAGGACAATGAGACAATTTGATAAATACAATGAATATGACAGTGAGTCAGTCCTGCAGTGAGTCTACTAAAATACTACAATTATATATGTAACTTAACTAATATATTTCGGATCCCGTCGAGCACATTCACATCTTTAAATTGAATATATTAGTTTCCAGGATTTTTGAAGATTAGGAACGTGATTTAAGTATCTTTGAGATGCTTTGCCTATTGGGACTTTAAAAGAATGTGTTCGTAGCATTAAGGATATATAATTTTGAATATATATTTTCAATATATAAGTGAGATGCAAAGCATATGAAAATGATAAGTAATCGAAGTCTGGTGACTTCAAAACCATTAAGCAGGCCACCACAACAAGAAACCACACCTATTTAGTTTTCAGCAGTTTCATCAGCGATTACAACCCAAAAGCATACACATAAAATTGTGTGTGTGTGTGTGTGTGTGTGTGTGTGTGTTTGTGTAACGCATAAAGGTGACCAGTTTCCGTGATATGACATTTATTTTGAGGACAGGGTTCTGGGCGCGTTCACCATTTGTAAGCTCAACCGGAAAATTGGTTTTCTCGATGAGTCGCGTCGACGTTAACAGCGCTACCCTTGCCTTGCTTTTGTTTTTGACTTATGTTTATGGCTCTAATGACCGGCAGACAGCCACATCAAACAGTAAATAGTAAACAGCCAACAGTCAACAGTAAACAGTGATGCAAGCAAACATTCAGCGAATATGGTAAACAACAACTAGACTGATCGACTGATTGCGAATGCTCGCCAAACGGATACCTTTTCCCAATAGCCAGCAATCAGTTGAGTATACGCATTTTGCAGTTGCTTCTGTTACTTAAATTGTTAAATTAATTATGTACAATTAAGTAGAATCGATTAAAGATCGATTTTTATCTATGCTACATCCATATATGCCAGAGAGCTATCAAAACACTGTCCACTGTAGGGGTGCTTGTGTGTGGCCACAGGGTAGAGGACTAGTGTCCCAGCTATGGATTGTTGTGTTTACATTCACTTGTTGTTGTTATTGTTGTTTGTTTGTTTTTTTTTTTTTTTTTTGGTCAAGTGCAGCTTGCAAATTGATTGGAGTTGTAATTAAATTTGCACTCGCAATGCAATTGCAAACTTAATTGTTAATATAAACATTATTTCATGTGGGCATGTTGCCAAGCAGTCAGTCAGGCAGCCAAACGATGGAATGGAAATGGCAACCGGGTCGGTTACGTGATCAGCGTGGCTCGCTTATAACTCATATTGCGTATACGTCGCCGTTGCCGTATCGCGAGTGAGAGAGTGAGAGAGTGAGCGCTTTGTGTAGCCGTGTCCGGCACGTCGTCCTAACCGGCTACGTGCCAACTGTCAAAAGCGTCTGAGGAGTCAAGCAGCCAAGGCGAAATCATGAGGGCCAGCCAAGAGCAAAAGCAACTCAATAAATAAAATATATGCATATACACGGGTCGGGTCTGCTTATGTCTGTATGTGTGTGTATATATTGATATGCAGTGGAGAGAGGCTCCCTCTCCTTCCCCCTCTAAAGAGATGTGTGGTTATGCACATACACTTGAACTTTAAGTTATACACACACTCAGCACGCTATGAACTACTTGTATTCATTTCTTATATTCTAATCGAAGTTTCATACTTCTATTTTCTTGTTGATTTTCGCATAAGTTCGTGAAGTAATGCCCTTAATGTAATGCACACTTATATAAATACGTGTGCGTATTGTGAGAGGCAAGCAAGTTGCCATTAACATTCTTAATTCAACACACTGATCAATACTTGGCTAACACTTGGCTTTATAGGCATATCTAACTGATCCATGCCCTTATCTAGTTAAAGACTCTGAAAGTGTAAGTAGCAAAGTTAGAGGCTGATAGTGCCGATGTTAAGTAGGGGATACTCAGCAAATTCACTAGTCATTCGCTAGTGAACATAGCCATAAAAGACGATCCGGTATTTAGTTGGACTCAAAAGAGATAAAAAGATATCTTTTGCAATAAGCAAATTACAAGAAACTCAGCAAATAGTTTAAGAAACAATTTTGTTAAGTGCACATCCACGTATCCATTTGTCAGTAAGTATATAAATAGACATAAATATGTAAAAACTTAAAAAAAAAATGGAATGGAATGGAATATACCGATAAGCACATGTCTGCAACACTGCAAACATAAATAAAGCAAACACCAAAGCCTAAACAAAACATAATGAATTCATAAAAGCCAAAACCAGATACTTGCCCTTGACTTTTATAGCGCCAAAAGCTAAAAGCCACAACAACAATAAAAACAAAATCAAAATCACACTTGAGGAGAATTCAACTCGACTTTGTGACTCGATAGACAATGAACAACTTGAGCAGCGTTAACTATGCCGAGGTCAATGAGTTGTTGGCTTTATTTTTTGTTATTATTATTATTTATTTATATAATTATTTAGTGTGTGTTTTTTTCTCCGCAACGACAACAACAACACAGAAGCAAAGCGAAGCGAAAAGCTATTACCAAATTGAACTTGCCAAAACTTTTTCGACAATTTGCGTCTGTATTTGATTTGCTGTTTCAATTGCAATTGTTTGTTTGTTTGTGACATGGCTGGCAAAATCAACAATAAACGAATGGATTAACTGAAATCGGAAAGTCTAAATAGACTGTGTCAGGTGCAAATTTGCTATTCGACGCTCGTCTCATATTTCATTGCTTGCGACCATTTCAGGCGCCATCGATTGTGATTGGGCCGCCATTCAACAAGAGCTCTTTCGAAATTGGCCCATATGCCAGACAGTTGGCCTGCTGCCGATATACAAATACAAAATACCATCCAGATGAGTGAACTTTTAGCATGCATTATAGAAATAATTATGAATTTGTTGTGGTTTTCTTAACAATATCTTTGACAATTCATTTGTAAGTTCCATTTTAGACAACTAGTTGGAGCTCGCTGAGCTATTAATTATTGCTGTTTGTTTCTGCAGCTTTTCAGTTTGTTTTCTTTTTGTTTTTTTTTTTTGTTTTTTTTTTTTCTTAACAAGAGACTGCAGCTTCTGTGCTGCAGTGCCACAATTGCGAAGGCAAACACGTCAATTGAACTCAACTGGGTCAACGTTGTTTACACGCAGCTGCGTCGACGTCGACGTCGACATTTACGGCAATATTAAAGCCAGCGTTCATGTCAAAACCAAAAGAGCTGCGCAACCGGCTTGTGACCCACAATGTGCATATATTCATTTATTCACTCCACTCTGCCGGCCGAAGCAGAGAACCTGGAGGGCACACGATGGGCAAGAAGATCAGTTTATGGCACTCAAGTCAATTCACCGAGCCGAGTCGATATAGCCTTGGTCGCCATATTGCTGCAGACTGTCCAGGTGTTGGAGCCGGATGGATCGGCGACCCGTAATGCAGGCATAAGCCAAATTGTTTATTGATATATTATTTTTAAGAGGAAATGCTGACGTTATTCCCATAGTGCGGCACTTTTGGTTAAATATCTGTAACGGGTTGAAGGCCGCTCCGTTATGCAATTCGGTTTCGTTATTCATCTCTGTAATTTGAATATGCAAATGGTCTGATAAAATTGATATTAAATACAAACATGAATAAGGTATGACAAACGTATTTGACACAAGCTCAGTTTTTGACACAGCCACAACACTATTCATTTCCTTGACCTTTCTTTGGAGGGGCTAACCCAAGAAATGATTACACAATTCTTCAGTATTTGAGTACCTTATTAAGGCTGCTGGTTATGCTTCAATTGCTGAGCACTTCGCTTAAAATTGGTGTGGAATTCGATAAGAAAACAAAGTTGATTCACTTTGCACCACAACATTAACAATATCGACAACAACAACAAAAAATAAACATATTTCAACTAACAGAAAAAATAAAGAAAAAAAAACATAGACAAAAACACTCACTCGCTTTCACTTGGCGCACTAATCAATACAATGTTCACAAATTGTAACAATGGGAAAAACGAGATTCAAAAGTAACCGAAAACGAATTCAAAATTGCGCCAATAACAACGGCGAGAGCCTACAAATATTTTTGGTTACTTGATTTTAGCGCACGCGCAAGAGAACTAAATGGCAACGACAGCCAAATTGTTCAAGCTCTATGCATTCAAAAAAATAAAATACAAAAAAATAACAACGAAAAAATACAAAAACGAAAAATATACAAATACAAATAAATAAACCAAACACACAACATCGCACGAACCGGAAAGAGCACAGTGGAACCAGACCTACGAATGCACGCCTGGTGCATAGTTAACTAACTATTGGCATTTGGTTTAACCAAAATAGCCATAAATATGTTACACTTTACGAATGTCATTTAACAGATGTTAATTAATTGATGTATTTTATTGACTTGCAGCATGCCGTAAGTTTGCCTTGATCAATTCCATTCCACCATAACCAGTGTGCGCAGTTAACAGCGAGCACAACGGCTACGAAGACGATCGTCGTCGCATCGGGCTATTCAAACTGCAGCAGCAGCAGCAACAGCAGCGGTAGCAACAGCTGCGGCAGCAGCAGTAGCAGCTGACCATCGGCGACTGCGCAGCCGCAGCCGCAGCGCGCCTCCTCACTCCAATCTGATTGGATTGCTGTAAAGTAAACGCTGTAAACGGCACCAGCCGCAAATACTGCGACTGTGACTGTGACGGCGACGGCGACGACGACGACGATGACTTCGCTACGGCGAGAGCTGGTTTTCGCTTTACTTTTATGCTGTTATTGTACCCATCTAAATAGGATAAGAAGGGTTGTATGAAATTGTCGCCAATGTATGTAACAGAAGGCAGAGGGAAGCGTCTTCATATATATATACAACCGAGTCGATCAATTTTATATCTGTTTATCGATAAGAATCACTTACCGATATCAGTCAAGGACACGGTTCTTAAGGTGTAGCTTTACAACTAAGTTGGCTTATGTCTTATGTAGCTTAAGGCCCAGTCGCTGATGTATGTATGAATTAAATATATATATATGCTTATAAGTTGTTCCAAAATTCGTATTTTATATGAAGCAAGTAAGCATTTGTGACACATATGCTTGCATATGTAAGACTTGTACAACTTAAGACTTGGCTATAGGGTATTCCCTAGTTGGACACTCTCTTTTTGTGGACTACAGCACTGTTAGTTGTTTGACGCCATTGCATAAGACTGGCCGGCGAGTAATAATGAAAGTACATACTCATATGCAGACATACTTGCATACATAGAGACATGTGTGTCTGTGTGTGTGTGTGTATGAATGCTTATGCATTTATGCATGTGAAGTATGAATTAACTGTGTACATATAATGTAACAGAAGAAGAAGAAGAAGAAGACGTCTGGTTAGCTAAAATATGGCAACTGAAACATTTTATGTTTATTGTCAAGCGAGGGTCGCAAAGGGCATTCGAGCTAAAGTTGCAACGCTAATTAGCTAATCCAATGTGTGTGATATACTAGTACTTAACTGCTTTGTAGTTATTCTGCGCCAACTAATTACTAACATTACTGCCTTCATTTAAAGCAAAAGTCACAATCACATTTGAATACACAGTAAACAATAATACGAAAATGAACAATGAAATGCTTAATGAACTATTCTTCATTATGCACTGTAATTGTATGTAATTTCAAGAACGTCTAGCGCAAAATCGGAGTACTTTTGAGTGTTTAAAACAAACTACAAACTATTTGACATAGTATCACCTCTCAATTTAATGTCATTAGTCGCTGATTAGTCATGAATTAAATATAATGGGTTTCTTGTTCTTTGTTATTTTTATTTATTTTTGTGTATTTAGTGTATTTTTGTAAAGTTTTTGTGATGAAAACGTGACCCGCGCAAAGCCGCGCATCCTATTGTGGTTCGACATTGTAAACCGCTTGCGTTTGGCACAGTGCATTTATTATTATTATTTTTTTTTGGCATAAATGGAAATGAAATATGCATAACGTAATATACAGCTGGCAAAATGTCGGCTATGGCTATTTGTAAAAGTATTTTATCGCCCGCGAGTTTTTCAATGTTTTCGCGCATTAAAAATGCATGCATATCCATTTGTATATCGCAAAAATATTAGTTGCAGTTTAAAAAATGTTTGACTATACTATGAGCACATTGTTTTTAGATTTCCAAAAAATCGACATGCATCTGTGTATGTGTATGTGTATGTGTGTATGCCAAAGTACATTTTTTTATTCCATACAAACAAATTTATTTATAAAAAGACGAACAGTTTTTCCCATTACATTTAAGGATGGAAACTTTATAAGCCCCCGGTCCCAGTCGGTCCCTCTCAGTTATTACTTCAGTGGGAGTGGTGCTATGACAGCTATAATTTCATTTATATCTTTCCTAATACCAATCATCAGAATGCTAGTGTCAAGTGAAATAACACATTCACTTACATATTATCAGATAAGGCTTGGGTGCGAAGCTCGATTCAATTGTAAATTCATTTGACATTTGTCCACCTGTCTGTCCATCTGGCGACTAGTTGTGTGCATTAAATTGCCGTTCTTTTTGTTGTATGTGTTACTAATGTAACTGTCAGATAAATGCCAGACAATGCTCGACTCGAGAATAATTGTTAGCCCATCAAACCATCTCTGTGTACTTTCCAATACTTCCAGCGACCAACTGTTGCTTGCTCGCTTTCCTGTGCTTGCTGGGGGAAACTCAACACAGCCAGCAAGTTCAACACAGCTCGCAGGACTCGTGCGATTGCCGAGCACTTCAGTGTTCGCTCGCCTTTCGTGTGGCATGCATCATTGAGCGCGTTGGCTTGCTATCAAATGTGCTGTGTGCTTTATGCTCTTCTCTTTCCCGAGTCTCTGTCTCAGTATCTGTATGTGTTCCCTTTGAGCCGGCTTAATTTACATGGCGACAAGGACCTCCACTCACACACACTACACTCCCCTCACGCACAGGCACAGACACAGACACAGGCACAGGCACAGGAAGAGGCACACATACGCATCACACACTCATCGCATCGTGCATAGAGATAACAATGAAAATATAATTTTAGTGCCTAGTAAAAATCCGTGGTGGTGGTGGACATCACTTTTGTTACGCTTCGCTTTGCTTTGCGTGCAGCCAAAGGGAACATAAAAGAATTGCCAAAGAACAAAAAAACAAAAACAAAAAAAATACAAAAAAAAAAAACGAACAACCCGAAATAATAATAAATAGATGGGAAGCTAGGACATTCGCTTCACTGTGGGGTTAGCCTTTCTCTTTTATAAAAAAAAAAAAACGAAAACTATGAAATAATATCGACGCTAGCGCGAGTCAAATTTAATTTCACGCTTAGGCAGTTTTTTCTCCACAGGACCTCGTAAAAAATAATAAAATGAATTTATAACAAAGAACGTATCATAGTCGGCCGATTTAACTGGCCATAACAAAAGCACACACTCCTTTCGAATTTATTCGAAAACCTTGATACTCGAACAAATATTTTAGCTAATGCTCCTGATTGAAAGCTATAAAATATATAAACATATAAACATATGTGTGACAACCTTTACGAAACGAAGTCGTTATTTGCAGTGCATTGGACATTGGTGACCTAATGTCGATATTGCTTGATTTCCAAATCTCTCCGACTGGAGTCCATCCGAACTTATTTTAGTCCTCAGCACTTGCCTGTCAATTCTCGGGTGAAGGGTCATTGCATCTCTGGTTCCCGTTGGGTGACAAAAGAATAAGTACAAAATACAAATTAACTGACTGCGACTTTTGCATAGAAAGAAGAAAAGCTGGCACATTTCACAATGGGGGAGCAAAACTCGTTCTCTGCCTCTGAATAATATGTGGAACACTGAGCCAAAAGTAGCTCATGCTGTATGCAGTACTTCCGAATGCCTACTTTTAGATGCATCTAGAAGGGCTTGTCTACTTTCGGGAGCTGATGAAAACTGTGTGAATGGGAATGCCATTTTGCTTGTGAGCTAGATCTGGTTATTCCATTGGTGGGTCATTGCCAATTACCAGTCAACTGCCTATTTAAATATCCTATTTTTAGCTGATAGAATAGAGAATCATTGGGTTCGCCTGAAATACTTGGAATCTATGCTTGGATCTTGTGCTGGGACTTTCATTTGTTGTCTTGAAATAATAATTCGCGTAGGGTTTGTGTCTTAAGTTTCAATGATATGCTTGCCTATATATATATATATATATATATAAATATACATGTATAAAAAGGGAATAATAAGGCACACACACACGCAGACTTGAACACATCTATGATGGCTATAAGCAATGAAATTTGTTGCTCACTTTTATGGGTTCCGTCCTTCAACACCAACACTAACAGCAACAGCAGCATCAATGGCATCAACAAGCAGCATGAACATCAACACACTCGCTTGCCACTGAGTCCTTTCGGCCAATTTTAGTGTCTTACAACTTTCCGCATTGTCTCCGTTTTTCGTGCTTATCCGTTTCCGTAGACTGTCCTAGTCTCTGTCCCCCTTTTCCCTTTTCCACTTTCCCCTCTCCCTTTTATCCCTGCCACTGTCCCTGTCCATTCCTGGCCACTCTTATGCCTGTGTCATAGCTAAGCTTAAGTTGTTGCAGCATTTTGTTGTCCTTGCCGCTGCTGCTGCTGCTGCTGCTGCTGCTGCTGTTTGTTGCCTGGTTAAAAGCATCTTAGCACTAGCAAAAAGCATATCAACTGCCAAAACATACACACACGCACACACACAGAAAGGCACATGCATATGCAGGATACCAGCCTGGACACACAGGACACACAAATACACACATGGCACACAAAGCGCCGCGTCGCCTCGCGTTTGAGCCTTGTGTAACAGTCTCCTGCCTCCACTCCTCCACTATTAAACTGTTCCTTGGTTATAGCCAACGTTTGGCACAGCACTAGATCTCTTAGCTCTGCTACTCCGCCCGCCCACCTCCACCAACGCCCAAGTCGTAATCTGCTGCGTTTTGTT